ATCTGTAGGCAATACATTATATGTACCAACCCCATCCCCCTTCTCACCCTGCTTTTACCACCAACCCCATCCCCTTCTCACCCTGCTTTTACCATCAACCCCATCCCCTTCTCACCCTGCTTTTACCACCAACCCCATCCCCTTCTCACCCTGCTTTTACCATCAACCCCATCCCCTTCTCACCCTGCTTTTACCACCAACCCCATCCCCTTCTCACCCTGCTTTTACCATCAACCCACCCCCTTCTCAACCATCTCCTCCCTTTCTAACCCACCCCTGATCTTACCACCCACCCCCTTCTCACCCTGCTTTTACCACCAACCCCATCCCCTTCTCACCCTGCTTTTACCATCAACCCCACCCCCTTCTCAACCATCTCCTCCCTTTCTAACCCACCCCTGATCTTACCACCCACCCCCTGCGCTTCCACCCCACTCAACTGTATCGCATGTGCAGACGTCTTACCGAGACATTGAGCTATCTGTCCAGCATCTGTGCCCTCGATGGGGTCGCACAGCCGTGCGACGACCGGGTGCAGCTGACTGGCGAGGTAGTAGGGCAGGTCGACCTGCAGACTCGGCTGCATTCTCAGTTCCGCGGCGTGGTAGGCTCGCTGCGTCGCAGGCAGTCCAGAGCCGTCCTGCGCGACAGCGATCCGATTACCAACAACAAACACTCCCGCTGGCCCTCATCATTTTGCGCAATTGAATTTGACGCTCTTTGTGCTACGTGCACGCCTTTACGGTTTGACCGTCATGAGAAATGAGTGTCCACGTATGTTTGAGAAGCACGTGTGGTGACAATCACTGCGTGCGCTGGTCGCTTGCACCAATAGGATGCACTGCTTTACTTTTGGTTGTTACTTTGAATGTTAATTCACAAAGTGGTTATATATGGGTTAGTTACACTGCAGAGACTAATATCTCATGAAAGTACTATTAACATACACACACTGATAAATACACTATAATGAGGGTACATCATTACTAGCTTCACGTCTAGTAAAGCATATAAACACAGATACATGTTCTATGATGAGGGTACATTCAGTTCACACCTGGCAAATGATGTAGGTGATTGTGTCACCATGTCCTAGCTTCTTGCCACCTTTGCTGTTGAGCCTCATCGCTACCTGTACATGAGGAAGACTCTTCTTGTCTGGATAATCATCTGGGTTCTTCGTGAGCGCCTGTAGTGTATATACACACGCATACACACATAGAATTTACAGACAGCGTGCCTACGCCCATGACTCATAAACAGCCACTTGTAGTATAATTACTAACTCGTAGACATACATGCATATTTACTGAGTGTGTATGATACGTGTTCTTCAGATATAAATCTTACTCATTCATTACTCATAAAAGAGTTATGATACTCGGTGATTAACTAACCAGATTTTATTTCCATCACACCTATCCCACCGACAGATTTGTGCATTTAACAAATGAGTTTTCGGCCATAACAGTCTATGACATAGGCGATGACAAACCTTGTTTATCATGAACTTCTCCAGGAGAACTTTTCCTTGCTTCATGTCGTCTGCCACCTCCGTCAGCCGTTGGTGAATTCTCTCCACAATGTTTTCCCGGGTGTCTGCTGACAAGATCTGTTCTATCGCATAGCTGTGACGATTACAATGACGATGTTAGGGATTCAAACACGTAGACAGGCACAATACATACTGCTCACGTATACGTAACATACAGCACACATATGCAAATTGTGAGATGTTTGCCAAAATAGAAGAAACAATAAACCAGACATGCAAGCTAATTTTACACGACCCAAGATAAGAAACCAACGAACATTAGCGTCAAGAATTGTGTATGTGCAAGGGGAAGAAACTGTGCTAATAATTTAGGGGTTGAAAAACGTTGACCATAAATTTCGTATTCCAGTATTCACTGCGCATCACGTTGAACGCACTTCGTATTCCTACGCGAATGCAAGAAGAAGACGAAGCTCGACATCGAGCGCTTACTTTCCGACGTCCTTCGACAGGTCGCACCAGTCTCGCCGCACGATGTCCAAACCCTTCAGCTCCTTGCTGTAGGTGACCTCGCCCGCGGGCGACCTGTCCACCACCAGCGCTGCATACTTCTTCTTCTTCAGCAGCAGCATGGACTTGAAGACGCCGTCGACCTCCAGCTCCAGCTTCTTGTACTGCCTGTTCACCTCGGTCTTCACCTGACAAAAACGTCGGAATTCCTCAGTACGCAACCACGGTACTGCGCTCTCACCCTCAATCTCGCTACAGCAACTTGCTAAGGCCACAATTAAAAAAATCTTTGTTTGCCCTCACCCGACACAGGCTGAAGTTCGGGTAGGTAGGTCGGTTTCTTTTTTTGAGGGGGGTGGTCTTTTGACAAATTCAGCATGGTGTCTACATGCTTCGGTGTGCTTGTGTGGAGATACCTTTTATGTTGAATGTTTGTATTGCTTGGTACATATAATGTATTGCCTACAGATTTATATAATGTTCAGTGATACAATTTGTAAAAAAAATAAATGAGAAAGATCAATAAATGAAAGTGTCAATGACACTGTAGCTCACCACAAAAAGGACACAAATGAGTGAGTGAGAAGAAGTCAGTTTTAATTGAGCAACCATCGACATACATTATAGAAACGAAGAGTATATATGGGAACTGCCCATTATCGTACTCTTGGATAATTATGTGTAATTTTTTATGTGCAAAATAATAAATAATATTATATATAAATTATAGACAATTTATAAGCCAAAATGAATCACAATTTGTGAGCGGTAGATGGCGCTATACCCGCTATGTTTCTAAGCATAAATCATTATATCATAATAATAATAATTATAATAATAAATAGTTAAATCATAATATGTTTCATAGGGCAGGAATTTTGGGCATTAAAGATATTGTCAATGAAATCTTGTAACGAAACCGACGACGAGTGTCACGCCACAGACTGTTTGTTATTTGCGTGTCTATATAATATGTTATATAATTGCCAAAACCTACCTAATTTGCATAAATTTCTTTAAATTAATCAAACCCCTAGCCCTTATTCATTCACATACCAAAAATTGAGCAAAAATCGCGTTGAACCTGAACTGACTAATGGCAAATTCCCATTTTGGCCAAAAAATTGCCGGTGGGCTCGAAAGTACGTCGACTGGCGTGCTCCAAAATAGGACGTTTAATATGGGAGCATAGCAGTAACAACTATACCCAATTTCAAACATGTGGGTCAAACGGTTCCTGAGTTATCGTTGACCGTAGCCAAATGTTGACGGACGGACGGACGGACAGACGGACGACCCATGGCAATAGCTCGATCAGCTTGACGATGTCAAGGTGAGCTAAAAATGTTGAGTCGGCCCCTTTTTGGCGGGTCGGTCGGGTGAGGGCAAACAAACAATATTTTTATTATGGCAGCAATAATATGGCCTAACAAATTTACTGCTAAAGATACACCCGTAGGCCGTTTTTGTAATGGCATCGCCCCGTCGATACCACCAGGGAATGACAGATTCGGGGAGAGGATCAATACACCAGTGGTAAGTCTCTCAGCTGCATTCTCAGACTGTCAATGAAATATTAGATACGAGTTGGCTACACTAGCGTGAGCCAAGGCCATTGCCACTCTACATATAACATCAGGGGTAGAAATTAACTTCTGAACAAAGGAGTCCAACGCCTGCCCTCAAAAAGAGAGAGTCCGCAGCAAAATGAGGGAGTCCTTAGTCTGAAGTTCAAAATTAAAGATTTGCTGAAAAAATACGGTAATTCCGCGAGGCCGTGCTTTGAAACGAACTAGAGTTAGAACTAGAGTTAGTATAGCAGAATTTTCAGGGAGCCACACAGACTCCTGCATGTCAAATCAGGGATCGAATCCGACAGTAAATCAGGGAGTATTTCACTCCCAACTCGCGTTAATTTCGCACCCTGTAACATACCTTGATACGCTGCATGTTACGTGCCTTCTTACATCACATGTTAAATACCTTGCTACACAACATGTTACATGCATTGTTACACTAAATGTTACGTGCCTTGTTACACTTTATGTAACATGGATTGTTACACTACATGTTACGTTCCTTGTCACACTTTATGTAACATGCATTGTTACACTACATGTTACATGCCTTGTCACACTTTATGTAACATGGATTGTTACACTACATGTAACATGCCATTTACACTATACGTTACATACCTTGTTGCCGATCTGGAAAACTTCATCGAGGTTCGTGGTGTTTGTGTTGATCATGATCGAGTCTGTGTCACCATAGATCACGTCCAGGTCATATTTCTGTACAAGATGTTTCGTGTGGAGCAGGATCTGTAGTGGGGAACATATTTTGCTTGGTCACATCTAAAACCTGCTGCTAGAGAGAGAGAGAGAGAGAGAGAAAGAGAGAGAGAGAGAGAGAGAGAGAGAGAGAGAGAGAGAGACAGAGACAGAGACAGAGACAGAGACAGAGACAGAGACAGAGAGAGAGAGAGAGAGAGAGAGAGAGAGAGAGAGAGAGAGAGAGAGAAAGAGAGAGAGAGAGAGAGGGGGAGAAAGGGAGAGAGAGGGAGAAAGGGAGAGAGGGGGAGAGGGAGAGGGAGAGAGAGAGAGAGCCATCACCATGCTGACATTAGAAATACAGAGAGAACGTTCTGGATCTGTACTTTCCCTACCTCTCTGCCTTTTCCAGTAGTCAAAGCTGCCAGGTGCTTGGCAAAAAACCTAGAGTTGCTGAAGCCCAGACATCCATACATGCTGTTTGCAGTTAGCTTAAGTGCCTTCTGTCGTATATCATACTAAAAAGAATGTATAACATCATATTAACATGCCATGAATTATTACAGCCATCAAAGAATTTAAAGGTTTATCAAAAGCATGATAATTAATTCACTACAATATCCTTAGGTTTATGGTAATAAACCTAGGGAAAGCAGTGAAATAATTACATATGTTAAGTAGGAGGGGCTGTAAACAACACAAGTACATTCATTGGGAATAACAAAACATGGCAGAATGTCCACAAACTACCTGATGTTTAGCTTGGCTCCACGCAGGAAAGATTTTTGGATTCCCTCTTCTCCAAGCAGATATAGTTATTCATTAACCAAACATAGTATCATTTATAGGTGCCGTTCATCATATTACTATCTTCAAGGCTATGAAAGTTTCATAGCTCTACCAGTACACAGGGCTTATAACTAAGCTAAAATCTTCAGTAGTCAACATGGCTAGTGACCTGTAAATTCTACCAGCCCTAAATTCTCTGGAGTGTGGTGCTGAAGTGGCATGCAGTGCTGCCACTCAGCCAATAAAAAAAAGTATAAAATCTGTCCAGAAAAAAGTATCAAAATTGTCTAAAAAAGTATTAAAAATGTATTAATTTGTATCAACCTACCATGATTTGTAGTCACTTGTTACCTTATACATTGTTACCGAATACATTATAGCCTATGTGCAGCATACAAACAAGCTTCAGGAATGATGTGTGCAATGCCATGAGGAGTTGTCTCTTGAACGCTCAGTCTGGAGTATTTCAATGCAGTGTTTCCCCTGGCCAAAAAAGTCTGTGGGGTGGTAAATGTTTTTTTGTGATGTGTTTGCGCATTTTGAGGTTTTAGCAAAATGAGCAGCGCAGGTGCTGGTCAAGCTAGAGGGGTCGGGGGCATGCTCCCATGGGAAATTTCTTTGAAAAAAATGGTGCAATTTGGTGCATTCTAAGCTATTCTGAACACATTGTACGAGACTCTTAAATATCTTTTTCAAGTTGTCAAAAGTTTCGTCAGTGAGGCGGTGTTTTGGACAAATTTCTGTGTGGCGGCTGAGAATTTGAGCAAGGTGGCCCGCATCGCTCGTGTCAATGCAGGGGAAACACTGCAATGCGCATTGCTCATTTGACATTTGGTCACTGACAGCAGAGAGCTGAGATCAAAAACACTCCACTGAACAGAGTACACATCACTCCTGCAACAAGACTAGCAAAGCACATCTTTCATCTCATCAAATACAGTGTACCTAAATGTATGACCGAAGAGTTAATTTTGACCATCTTTGGCAAAAAAAGTATTTAAAAGTATTTATGCATGGAAAAAGTATGAAAAAAGTATAAAGCGTATAATACTTAACAAAAAAAGTATAAAGTGGCAGCACTGGATGGCAAGCAATTAGCTCCACACATGTGTCAGGTATATGAGCAGGGTGCGTATGGGAGGCAGGACTTCCCAAAACGATTGTAATCTGAGATACATTTAGAGGCTTGCTACCTGGGTAATGTGATTTAATTTAAATCAAAATTGGAAGACTGCTCAAATTTAGTGATAAAATTGATTTTTGCTTGATACTTAAATCCGATGGGATCAGTTGCACAAAAAATAGGTACGGATTTGAGAATTACCGGCACTCGCCAGCAGGACTGGTCAGCCAAGACTATTAGCCTTATGGATTTCTACTAGCCTTGGGCGCACTGGCGAGCGCTAGTTTCAAGTCCTGGATACAGCTGCTTCTGTGGCATCACTCCCAGGTCTACACCGGTGGAGCTAAGGAAATCACACTGAAATCATGTGACGTCGTGGAGTACACACGGGGGATTTGCGACGTCGCGGAGTACACACGGGGGATTTGCGACGTCGCGGAGTACACACGGGGGATTTGCGACGTCGCATCTACGTGCTCATCATCATCACTACCTGCATCATCAGCTCTGCAGACGTGCTCTTGTCCTTCATGAGCGCCTTGACGGCACGCCGGCTCTCCACCAGCTTGCGAATCTCGGTCGGCAGCACGCCGTCCTCAAGGTCGTTGCTTGGCATCTCGACATCCGGCAGTCCCTCCTCCGTCTGTCACACACACACACTACTGTATAGCAGATGACAACACAGAGCAGTGCACCCCCCCCCCAAAGCGTTACTCCCACTAGTACAGTAGTACCGAGACCACACTGACATGAACGTGAGAAGGGAATCGGGAGTGGAGGGAAACTGTCGCATCGGTAATAATTTCAGATTCATCTCCAAAATATATGAACTTATCTAGGAGTGCAAGCAGTTTCAAAATGAAAATACGTGCATCTGGCGTTGCTGACCTCTTTGTAAGGCACCCTGGCGACAGTGGTGAAGCAGATGTTGTATTCCTGGATGATGGATGGATAGAGACTGTTGAAATCCAGCAGTAGCACGTACTTGTCATAGAAACCTGGCCGGGAGAGAAAGACCGAAAGCTGAGAGATGAGATCACACCAACCACGTATCATCGTTCATCTTATGTTGCGTTTATGCAATTTTATCTTACAAGAGATACAAGAGATTATGTGCGAGTTCGACAATACATTGTGTCACAACTCCTGTAGTTTCAGCTGCTAGCAATTCATGTTAATGAGGCTGCCAATAGGTATTCTGATTATCGCTGACCAATTATACCTTTCTTAGGTTCAAGCACTAATCCACCAGCATATGATGGCTTTTTCTTTGACTTGGTTGTAGCTACTGTTTCATCTCCATTTTCTGTTGTTTCATTTACACTATCGCCCTTTCCCTGTGTAGAAGAAAATCAACACGTTGGCATGACATTAAAAGGAAATTTCTTCCAAGGATGGTTTTCTTCAATGATGAACTATTTACACAAACCTTTGGTCCCTGTTTCTTTGCGTAAACCTTGTCTGGGGTGATGAATTGCTTGTCATGGAAAGCATGTAGGAGCAGAAACTCATTTCGCTCAGATCTTCCGCCGAGCAGAGTACGAGACTGAAAATGAAGGACACAATGAAAAACTATCTCACACTCATCTCAACAGATTTCCTCAACTATGCAAATTAAAAATTACAATTATATTGGAATTTATTCCTAAGAAAATCATTACACAACACTGTCATGAAAACGAATGATAATAAAAAGCCAACATTCAATACTTAAAAACTTGTCGCATTCTTTCTTGCTCACCTAATTATATAAGTGATATAATCTAAACTGTCTCATGTATTATTTGTAACATAATGTTACACAAAAATATAATGTAACGTTTTAATGCATAACTGATATCTTCTTCTGAGTGCTTAAATAAAGGTTAATTTCAGCATACCCCTAACATACATAAATTACCAACATTATGGGGTGCAAAAGCCAGGAGCCTATTGTCAGATCGTCACAAACAAAACTATGCTTAACACTGGCCTGAACAATACTTTCACCACCATCCATGGAATGTGTTCACACACTCCATTGACAGAAACATGGTAAAGTTAAGAATTTCTCACACGCAGCATATAGAAGTCCAGTCTATAAGATAAAGTTAATGTTTATACAAATGCTAAGACAAGATTTTGTTTCTGACAACAGACCAGCTGTGAAGAACGTACCAGCACATTTCCGGCGATGTTTGTAATCTGCAGAGCGAGGGGAAGCACATTGAGTTCACAGAGCAGCGTCAGCACGTAGCTGGCATCTCCCATCGTGCACTCCACCAACTGCAGCAAGCTCTGACTTGTCCTGTTATACAACAACACACCAGTGCTATACGTAAAGCTATGGTGTCAATGGCACACGTATGTTACACATAAACCCACGGTCAGGTCGTGGGTCTCACCTGTAGGCTTCTAGTTTGTATATTTTGGAGCTGCCAAGACAAGCAACATATAGCAGGTAAGTGATGTAAAGAATACTTAGCCACCAAAGAAACATTTAATTAATCTCGTTAGGAAAGTCTTGAAGTAAGAACGCACGTAAACATGTTGTGTATGCTCTCGGGTGGGATTTCTATGCGGTTTCTGTGGAGAACGTGGCCTACTAGCTCCGTGAGGTCATAGCTCCTGCAGCGAATCAGCTCCTGAGCCGATATCTTCATGTCAACTACCAGCCGGCCGGCCACTGTTGACTTGTGCTGCATTCTTCCAAAATGGCCACCTTTCTTCTGTAAATACGAAAGCGTTTAAAACATGAATAAAGTATATATGCGATATCGTGAACAACAAGCATATCAGTAAATCATCGAATAGATGGAAATCAGAATCTGACCACATCTATATCTTAGCGAGGTACTGTAAATGATGAAATCAGGATCCACACAGTAATTAGTAGCTACTTGTAATATGATGGTGACATGATGTGCTGATCCTATGACCTTGGGCTTACCGCAACCTTGGGCATATGAGCGCGCCGCAACCTGCCTAACCTCGACCAATGAGGAACATTCCCGATTTCCATCTTCTTCAAAATTAGGTCGATATCAAATCCAAAGAAGTTGTGAGTCTGTAAGACAAGAGACAAGTTTGAGAGAATTATCTTATCCTCTACACATTCCTATCATTGCTCTGCAAGATATCAATGGAAAACACAAGATAAAGCTATAGTCATCTTTAAAAATGACATGCAAGCACTTTCTTATGCATTTAATTAGTTAACTCTTCTGTACTCGAGAGGAACATTAGGTCCAAATAACGTATTTATGTGACATAGATCTGTCTTGGGTGAGGTGTTGGGTTTTACCCCATGATTAGCCTAACTCTAATTGGGAGCTTATATGCATTTAAGAAACCAAGTAAAACCTAATCTTACCACTATAACATCTGGGTCAATGTTCTGGATCTTCACAAGGAGATAAGACAGAAGGTTCCTTTCGCTAGCTGCTACCTCAACGTTTCCTAGTTGCTGAAATTCCCAAAAGGAACTGGTTAACTGTGGGCACTAAATAATTTAATGAACAACTTTTTCCCACCAATCTGCAATTTCATTTCGAAATTTTTGGAAATGATATACACAACTAATGGAACAGAGATGTGCATTGTTTTTATCGAACTTACCGACTTTTTCAGTTGCTGTGCAAAGTCAAATGGCATCACGCATCCACTAGGACAGGTTATAACTAGCAAACAAAAGGGAGAAATGTTACAGAACATAGTTGCATACAATTGGATACATATGTATGTGAGCATGAATGAAAGTGTCAATGACACTGTAGCTCACCACAAATAACGTTTTTATAATATTCAGATTCATGAACTGCCTATAAAAGCGGAGCTCCTGATGTGTAACGTGTAAGATTGAGAGGATACGCTTATTCCACGTAGCTGCTATGTGCCACGTGACAATGGTCTTTCCCTGCTCATAACACAACTTTTGTCAAAGGTTAATTGGTTGTATGGAAGTGTTTACTTCGGGGGGAAAAATTGAAATTGCCTATAGTCAGTTCAGCGTTGACGGATTGTCATTTTTGGTATTGTGAATGAATAAGGGCTAGAGGGTTTTGATATTTTTAAAAAAATATGCAAAATTAGGTAGTGTTTATTGCAATTTTATGCAAAAAAACGCAGCATAAACAACAGTCTGTGGTGTCACACTCGTCTGGTTTGTTTTACAAGATTTCATTGACAATATCTTTGAATGCCAAGTTTGGTATTTCTCTCCAGCTGCGAATAAATGTACTATATTTAGAGTAAGTTTTACAAAAACATGTCGGACGCAGACATAATCTATTTATTTCTAATGCCATTGCTATCAAAGCGGCGTATAGCCTATCTACGCGTCACCAATTGTGACTTCATTTTGGTTTATAAATTATTATTGCGATATTACAGATGGCTTAAACCGTGTGCTACCGCCCTAGAAAAACTCATCTGAATGTAAAACACTTCCATACAACCAATTAACCTTTGACAAAAGTTGTGTTATGAGCAGCGGAAAAGTACCATTGTCAACGTGGCACATAGCGCTACGTTGAATAAGCGTAATCCCTCAATCTTACACGCTTTACACATCAGGAGGCTCCGCTTTTTATATGGCAGTTCATGAATCTTGAATATTATAAAACGTTATTTGTTGGTGAGCGTACAGTGTCATTGACACTTTCATTCAATGCTCTCATACGATATGTATCCAATTGTATGCAACTATGTTCTGTAACATTTCTCCCTTTTGTTTGCTAGTTATACCTGTTACCTAGGTGGATGCCGTGATGCCATTCTGGACTTTGCCACAGCAACTGAAAAAGTCGGTAAGCTTCGATAAAAAACAATGCACATCTCTGTTCTATTTAGTGGCTATATTCAATTTCAAGAAAATTTCGAAATTGAAATTGCAGATTGGCTGGGAAAAAGTTGTTCATTAAATTATTTGTTTAGTGCCACAGTTAACAGTTCCTTTTGGGAATTTCAGCAAACTAGACAACGTTGAGGGGTAGCAGCTAGCCGAAAGGAACCTTCGTGTCTTATCTCCTTGTGAAGATCCAGAACATTGACCCAGGATAGTTATAGTGGTGGATTAGGTTTTACTTGGTTCTTTAAATGCATATAAGTCCCAATTAGAGTTAGGCCTAATGCATGCCCGGGGTAAACCCAACACCTCACCCCAAGACATGATCTATGTCACATAAATACGTTATTTGGAGCCTAATGTCCTCTCGAGTACAGAGGAGGTTAACTAATTAATGCATAAAGAAAGTGCCTTGCATGTGCATTTTAAAGCATGATGACTATAGCTTTATTCTTGTGTTTTCATTGATATCTTGCAGTAGCAATGATAGGAATGTGTATGAGGATAGATTAATCTTCTCAAACTTGTCGTCTTGTCTTTACAGGACTCAACACTTCTTTTGGATTTGATATCGAACCTAATTTGCAAAGAAGATTGGAAACGGACATGTTCCTTCATTTGTCGGCAGGTTAGGCAGTTGCGGCGCGGCTCATATGCCAAGGTTGCGTAAGACCCAAGCGTTCATAGCGATCAGCACAATCATGCCTCACCATCATATTACTAAGTAGCCCTACTAAATTACTGTAGTGGATCCTGATTTCATCATTTTGACAGTACCTCGTAAGATATAGATGTGCGTCAGATTCTGATTTCCATCTATTCGATGATTTACTTGATTACGCTTGGTTGTTCACATATCCATTATATACTTATATTCATGTTTATAAACGCTTTCGTATTTACTAGCAAGAAAGGTTGGCCATTTGGAGCAATGCAGCACAAGTCAACAGCTGCGGCCGGCTGGTATTGACATGAAGATATCGGCCTCAGGGAGCTGATTCGCTGCAGGCAGCTAATGGACCTCCGCGAGCTATAGGCCACGTTCTCCACAGAAACCGCATAGAAATCCCACCCTGAGAGCATTACACAAACATGTTTCGTGCGTTTTACTTCAAGACTTTCTAACGGAGATTAATTAAATGTTTTCTTTGGGTGCCCTAAGTATTCTTTACATCACTTAACCTGCTATATGTGCTTTGGTCTTAGCAGCCCTCAAATATACAACTAGAAGCTACAGCGTGAGCACGACCTGATCCGTAGCGTTTATGTGTAACATACGTGTGCCATTGACACATAGCCTTTACGTGTATAAGCACTGGTGTGTTGTTGTATAAACAGTGACAAGTCAGAGCTTGCCTGCAGTGGTGCGAGTGCACAATGGGAGATGCCAGACTACGATGCTGACGCATGCCTCTGTGAATCAATCGTGCTTCCCTCGCTCTGCATCAATAAATACAAACATCGCGCAGAAATGTGCTGTACGTTACTCACAGAACTGGCTCTCGTTGTCAGAAACAAAATCTTGGTCTTAGCATTTTGGTTATAAACATTAACTTTATCTTATAGACCTGGAC